TAGCAGGGCCCGCGGTCGGGGGGGGGCCGGCTGATACTCATGTAAGGGGCCCGCCCGGGGACCCATACATTTGTATCGGCCGGTGAAGGGGGCGAGGAGGCGGCCGGGCCCCCGCAGCAGCAGCGGTGGAGGCCTGGCCCTAGCGGCGCAGGGCCCCAGTATTGCCACTCCAGCGGCTTCGAGACAAGCTGGGGCCCTATCAGCAACGCTGCTCGTCTGAATGTGGAAGTGAAGTCACGTTGGTGACGTGACGTCACTTCCGGTCAGTCCAGCTGGCCGGGTGTGCAGGTCAGTGGCTGATCCGAGAGGGGGGAGCCGCTGCCGTCCTGAAACTAACAGGAGGTCAGCGTGATGGAGGCAGGCGGGGAGGAGAGCGGAGCCGCTGTCCTCCTGTCAGTTTCAGGATGACAGCGGCTGTGCGTGGCCGAGCAGAGGATCGGTAAGTATCATTGATGTTTACCGATCCTGCGTGTACAGCACAAACACTGGAGTGATCGTCTGATCACTCCAGTGTTTGTAAATCACTGGGGACACATAGTACTATGTGTCCCCAGTTATGATTTACATCGCAGCCTGTTCATTCAAGATTGAAAAAGACGCCCCCCCCCAAGATGGGGCCGCTCCTCCCCCGCCGCTCTGCCACCCACAGCATGTACGGGCGGCTGTGCGGCGGGGCTGGAGAGGCTGTCACGCACATTCTTCTGTGTGAGGACACTCTCCTCTTAGCCCCGCCACCTTGACGCCGAGACGCAGAAGAGGGTCCTGCATGAGACTTAGGTAAGTCTGGACCGGGAAGGGGGATGCTGGTGGTATTCAGCATCCCCCTGATTTTTATTATGATGTATTGCTGGGACTTTTAGTCCTGCATAGCTGGTGGTATTATGCATTGCTGTGTAATCAATATAGAGCAATGCAGAATAGCACCAACTATGCAGGACTAGCAATGCATTATATTTTTAAGTAGGTATGCACCAGTCAGTGCCAATACTGGGCATTTTCACAAGTACTCATACTTGTGAAAATGCCCCGATACTAAACGCAGATACTGGTGTTCTGTCAAGAATACCAACGTAATCGAATTTGCCGACCTCAGCATCTGCGCTTGTGCACAGACCAGTATGATCAAGGAAACCGTGATCCGTCTGTGTGCAAACGGTTGGCGTTCTCGACAGAACACCGGCACTATATTTTTAAACTGAAGCGGCTGCCTGAGGTCCCACGCTGCTGGGGACCTCGGCAGCCTTCCTGTTAACCACACAGTTTCATGGCGGCGGGTGGTTAGGGGGGCCCTTCATAGTTTCTTGCCCTGAAGGTTCTATTTACACCACTGAATTCCAGCAATACATTATACAAAGCTGCAGCGGCGGATCCAGGGATATCTGGATCCGCCGTTTACACTCTAATGTCCCCCCCACAATTACATCAGTCTCTGTACAGAGGAGCTTACACTCTAATGCCCCCCCACAGAGGCTGATGTGACTGTGGGGAGACATTAGAGTGTAGGCCCACCTGTACAGAGACTGATGTGACTGCGGGGGGACATTAGAGTGTAAGCATCTCTGTACAGAAACTGATGTGACTGGCTCAGTGTTC